GTGTGTGTGTGTGTGTGTGTGTGTGTGTGTGTGTGTGTGTGTGTGTGTGTGTGTAGCATCGTTAGTGTTAGTCTTCAGCTGGAAGGAGACAAAGACGTGTGATGAAGACGGAGTTGTCTTCGTCCACTCAGATCCTGGTAGTCTGGTCCATAAGGCTGATCTGTTTAAATAATGGCTCATTTTCTGTCCTGCTCAGTGCTTTCAAACCTATTTTTGTCTGTTAGCTCAGTGTTTCCCAAAGTGGGGTCCTGAAAAGATTTTCTAAATTAATTACATTTTTGCCTTAGTTGCCTAAAATATATAAATGTAGTATAAAAATATTGTTACTATGCCCATGTTTAGTTGATCTGATACAAATGTTTATCATCCAAAAATAGTTGTGGGCTCAGGTCTCTGCTACTGTTATTTTGTKGGTCAAAAGCTGAAAAGTTTGGGAACCACTGCACTTCAGAAATCAATTTAAAGGGTAATAAAATAATTGGTGATGTAATATTTTCCCTATAATTATTACAAAAACACAAAATGAGTATAAATACATATTTATATTTGTGCAGCCTTTGTTTTTAGGGTTATTAACAGTTTGATTACTCAGACCAGTAATATTTGGGGTCACAAGTCTTTGCCATGAATATTTTGTGGGTCAGAAGATAAACAGTTTGGGAACCACTGTTAGCTGATTAGCAGCTGTGATGCTAACGATGCAGACTAACATCAGCTGTTTCTCCTCATTCTTCAGTCATATTTTCTTATTTTTCCTCCTAATTTTCTCTGTCAGAGACAAACTCACTGACGACCCTCTGCTCTGGTTTTAATTTCATGRGTGTCCCCCTCTGTCCCCTGGAGAAGGTGGTCTGCTGTCAGGGGGTCTGTCCCTGCCCTGTGAGAGCGGTCTGAGGGAGGAGGAGGATGCTGAGCGCAGCGACATGGCCTTCCTCACAGACCTCCTGAGCCTGGGTCCAGGAGGCAGTGATGAGTTCAGCAGAGAGTGGCAGGACGCGTTCGGGATGTTCGACCCTCCCAGCGTCCCCGCGGCGAGCGGCGGTCCRGCAGCTCGACCCCCCTCCAACCCTCCCAGCCCCACAGGCTTCCTGCCCTCTCAGCTGCTGGATCACAGCCTGAGCTCCACAGGTCAGCTGGAGGTCTGATCCTGTCAGAGAGCAGTGAGCTGCTCCTCCTCACCTCTTGTCTTTGTCCTGCAGGCTGGGCCACCCCGCCCATGTTCCAGGCTCCGCCCCTCCAGCTCCCACCTGCTCAGAGCCAGGCAGCTGCTCAACCTCCAGCTGCAGCAGCTAACGGTACGACTCCCCCGTGGACTGTCAGCTTAACGTTTGAAGCAGAGTTCTGGTCCAAACCCGTCCTCTGTTTCCCCTCAGCTGCTTCAGGAGGATCCAAAGACATGTCTGCCTGGTTCAACCTGTTCGCTGACCTGGACCCGCTCTCCAACCCCGACGCCATCGGCCGCTCTGCAGACGAGCTGCTCAACGCCTGACCTCCCCTCGCCTCGGCCACGCGTCACGTTTGTTCCACAGGTTGTGCACAAACACATCTGGTCTCAGTGCCTGTTTACAGCCCACCCACACCTCCTGAGGGGTCCTGGCTCAGTTCTGCTCTCTGCTGTGTGTGTGTGTTGTGCTGTGTGTGTGTGTTGTGAAGGTGGGCTGTGATTGGACGAGCCTGCAGTGATGAAGCACAGCCAGCCGGCTCTTTTTAACCACCTCATTGATCCCCTCTCTGTTGGCGGCCCGTCAGGCAGCAGTTTCAGCTCAGCTCTGTGAGGCTGCAGTTCTCTGGGCCTCGGCACACTCATCTGTTTGCTTTAGAACCGGTCCAGGCTTCTTCTCAGCCCAAGAAAAACAGCTGAAGGTGAAAAACTGCTGACATGGCTTCAGCTACAACTTCAACCAATCCAATAAATCTTCTTTTTCACCAGCTGTTACCGTTTCTTGAACACCTTTAGTTCAAATACCACTTTTTAAACTATTGTCTTTAGGCGTGATTTTTCATCTCTTCACAGCAACGTTTGAAGCACATGATGGTTCATCAGGGTTAGTCAGAAGGGAGGTTTGTACTTCATTTACAAAGTTTCAGATTAAGTGTTGAAGTCTGAGATTAGAAGGGGAATCAAATAGTCCTTGGTGCAAAAACCTACTATGTTTTGTGTAAATGATTTCAAACGTCAAAATAAATCACTTTAATAAGTAAATTAAACACATAAAACATAAATGGGGCTGAATATAACCTGAAAATATCTTAAAAGTCCAAACCATTTGAGCTGCAGTGATGGTTAAAGTGGACAATAGAAAAATATGGTAACATCGGCGCTCTTATTGTGAAGGACTGAAGGAAGTTCTTAGAGTCCTGCTGTAGAAAAAAACTGCACTTTGAACTGGTTCAAACAAAATGCTTCATGTTATTATGAAATTAATTAATTAATTATCAAAAAGAAAAATAATGAAACAAATCCAGTTAAGGTTGAAATCTAACACTGACTTAGGATGAGATTCAGGATTATTTTAAGACTTAATGAGCTCCTGATTGTCTGGAAGAAGAGTCTCTTAACTTGGTGGTCCCGCCCCCTGTCAATCAGAGCAGGAC